CTTTCATCTACAGCATGTAAGGGATAATCTGTCATCTTAATATAACACACATTTACATACACACAGAACTAGATGAACTGTGGTAAAAGAGCTTTCCACTACCACTCTTACGTCAAAAGGCCTTTGGCTTTTGAGTTTATCACTTACAAAAGAACACATTTAAATGATCTGATGTGCTGGAAGATGTAGATGATGGTCTATTCCAAGAACAGCATGTACAACATCACGTCAAGGTGAAGAGAAAGACATGTCCTTTGTTGCAGCACTCACAATCCCTGTTCTTATTTCATAGGTGGACTTTAGATTGGACACAACAGCACTGGCAGAGTCCCAGGATCCTTTTTTGCTGAGGGAAGTGCAAGTCATCGTCAAGGGCAAAGACAGAGTCTGCTTTGGAGCTAGGCCAGATGTCATGTGACACGACTAGAAAGACACTAGGAAAACAGTAGGACATTTCAGGAATATAAAACAAACATACCAATAACACACATTAATACGTGTGCAACAACAGCAATAATAAATCGTATATACAACGAACATAATCTAACCACATAAATATAAACTAGATTCCAATTAAGAAAAAAGACACTGAATAAAGTGAAATCCCCACTTTATCTAGACACATATTTGACATTTTCTGTTTAGATACAATCAATCAGAAAACTTTTGTTAATCCAGAGAATTTAAATTTAGAAGTAATTACAAATATCACAATCATAATTAGAGTAGCCCTAAAACAAGAAATCTGCCACAAACACTTTCATATATGCCTGCACACAGGCCTGAGCTGCATGTGAGCTGATACATAATCGTTGCATTGTGACATCAAATGTACTTGCATGCGTACCAACATGCAGCCGTCTCTTACTCTGACACATTTTTAAAGACTGATATTAATCAAGCAAAACAGGGAGGGAATGTCCTCCCAACAATTACATTAATGAAACCACAAACCACAAAATGTTCAAAAAGTAATGCTTCTATCAAAGGGGATACAGAAAAATGCACATTAGTAGCAACAACAACTAGCTACCACCTGATGGGGCTATAACACAGTGGAAATGAGAAGGTCAAAGATGTTACACTGCAGTTTGGGTGTTTAAATAGCAGGGATGTACTTGTAAATCTCAGCACTGTAGAATCATGAATCACCATCCAGGGGGAAACAGTTTAATCAGGAATGTAGAGCGTGACATGCTGGCAATACATTTTGCATTTCGATGCTACACCATATGTCGAATGATGAACTATGACTTCACTGTACCAACTAAAAATAGAGAGATTACACGTCATTCACACTGCACTACTGCTCGGTTTATTTTAGAGTTCATTTTTACAGTCCTTTCTGTTAGGTGTTAAATTGTTTAGTCATAGTCATGCAACATCATTGGGAATCCTCTCCAGCAAGCTCCATTTTCCCAAAGTACTCAAAATTGGCAGTGCTGTTATCTTTTTTGCTTATAAAATATGTAACGCCCTGCCCAAAGACATTAGAGTGGTTGACACAGCTGAGATTTTTTAAAAGTACAAAGATAATGCTTTTGACAAAATCTTCCTGTTCCCAGCAGTCAGAACAATTTCATTATTGTTTAGTGGTTGTTATGGAGTACAGTACTGATGTGGTTATATTGTTAAGATGAACCTAATTACATCTAGATGAATTCCAAGATGAGTCTGAAGTCCTGTTCAACACTAAGCTAAACAATAATAAATCCCAAAGGCCTACAGCTATTTCTAAATACAAAACTCATGATGGCATTTCTTAAGGAGGAATAAAAATACTGTAAATCTATTTATTCATGGCTTAAAAGTAAGGAGAATTATATTTGTTTCAGCAATTAAGTCTCTTAAAGTAGTTACATTTTAATCTGAAATTCTAAGTTCATTCACATGGCTTAGCTTCTGTACCAGAACTTCATCAAACCTTCTAAAAACAGGTTTAACTAGTTTATGTGGCTTTGTTCAATTTTCTCTGCCTACACTTTGTGTCATTATGAAGTCATTGAGTTCATATCACTACACAACCCCTTCGCATCGCAGACAATGAACATTTTTGCTGCTTCACCATTTTCCATATTTAGCACGCCACAGTTTGGTGGAATCAGATCTGATACAGCACCAGTATCGTCACTGTTTTCAGCAACAGATAGATCCCAGCGCCATCTGCTCCAACTTCTCATTTATTGTCTGTTTTTTTAATTGTATGTGAGGTAGCCACTGAAATATTCTTCACTGCTGTCAGCAGATTTATAGGGCCCTGCTGTTATTAATGAGGAAATTGAACACATGCAAATTAAAACCTTAATTTCCAAGATATTTATTTATTTTAGATGTATTGATATAAATTATCTTTGTGCCACATAATTTTGTGCAGCACATCCAGTATGTGTGACTGTAGTGGGCTGATATTGTCATGGTTGAGCCTTTAGAGTACAGCCTGAAACCACATCTTCACAGGTTTGGCGCCAGTGGGTATCTATTGAATACCAGACAATTTTGGCATGAAATTAACCTAAAATAAAGCATAATAACAGGTCTATGTGTATGCTCAAAGATTATGGTAAGAAAGTTGTGAAATAACATATTTGCATTGCCCATCCATTATTTTATGGTGATGTCATAAAATGTGAGCTTAAAACGTTTTAGTCAACAAGCTACCTAGAAAATAGCAAAAAGTATCACTAATGTACACTTTATTACTAAGGTTACATACCAAATCAATTAAGTACTGACTTTCACACTGTTAGCTAACCTTAGCCTAAAAACATAAGCGTATGTCTACTTATAACTTAGCTAGCCCATGTTTGTGCCTCTCACGTTAGCTTTAAAACAATGGAGATGATAAACGTCAATGCTAGCTAGGTAGCTAGCAGTTAGCTTAGGTTGCTAACTGGCAAGCTAGCTTTACCCTTGCAAGCTGAATGGTAACTTCGTTTGTTAGTTCCTTAGTTGCACATACAGGACATTAGGAGTCTGCATTGCAGCGCAAGCTAAGGTTAGCTAACGTTAGGTGCACATGCTAACTGCCAGCAATCTAGCATTTCTGAGCTGCATTATAGCCAATATGTAGCCCTTTTAAGCCCCTGATAATGTCCCACTCATGTACAGCCATAACATAATGTAGTCCAAAGATAGTGGTAGCTAAACACTGTGAAGAAAACATAAACTAAAAATTGATTTTGATGATTTGAACATGCTAGAACAATAACTTAACAGGTGATTTGCATGCAACCTTAAAGTACAGAGTGACCGAAATTGTGGGTTATAGACACTATCTTTAACAATAACATGCCTATTAATAAGAGCATCCAATAATTATTTTTTTTTACTACTGGAAAATAAGGAGCATACCAATTTTTCTGAAAATTATTCTCAACCCTGGGTACTTGTCATATTTTCATAATTAGACAGTGTGTTGATACACTATCCTCTCCTTGCAAAAGGTGAGTTATTGTGGCAGCACAAAGTCATCCATACACTGGACTGATCCTTTCATTTTGGTTTATTAATTCTGATAGATAAATTGTGCCTGCAAAAGATCATTTGACACATTACTGAATAAAGCTCCATCAGACCATCAATCTTGGGAACAGAAACTCTGCCTATTTAGTCTCTATGATGTGCACGAAATCTTGACATGCATCGCTGTAATATTAATTTCTATGTGGAATTTGGAATTAATGGTCTGGTTATAGTGACAGCTATTTTACAAGACCATTCTGGTCCTCAGGTAAATCTATAGTGCAGTAGAGGCTATGGGATTAATTTGTTTATTCCCTCTACCTTAATAGAGCCATTTGCATCAGGTACGAGAAAACACAAAGCTGGCACTCAAATGAAAGCATAGTGAAACATTTAACCCATAAACTAAAATTAAGGATAACAGTAATTGGCAAAGTAAAAATGTCCTCAGAAATACTGTCACTGTCGAGAGAATATCCAATTTTGAATATCCACATATGATATAGCCACTGTATTGATTTTCATGTTATGCCTTTTGGTTTGCCTTGCAATAATGGAATTGGTCTGCTGTTAGTCAGTAAGTTAATCAGATGATGTCTATGAATATAAAATGTATGTATTCCTAGTCTTGTCACATGGTCTCTTTGTTGAAGGATGTGCTGCATGTTACATTGCAACATCATTCTGCAGAAAGATGATGTTGCAGGGGTGGGAGGGGGGAATAAATGAGGTAGCGGGAGAGAGTGAGTTTGATGTCGATGCAGCTTCTCTCCGAAGCTAAAAAGTGGGCTACAGAGAGCAAAATACATCATGTGGCAGTATGTGTACAATGACATCTAAGGTACACTATTTGTATACTAATTGCCTGATTGGTATAATTAATGTTTCAGTATGTGAGGATATTGACATTTCAGCTGTCAGTGAAAAATAAAACCATTTTAAGTTATAACATTTAAACTGAAACTATCAGGACAACATGTAGTCTTCATTAAAGTAAGTAACGGACATGGAAATTTACATTCACAATGGTGTCTTGTGTTTGACAAATGATGTAAGAGACTAATTGAAATTATTATTAAAAGTTGTAGGTGTTACAGAGATTGGTGTCATGGACATCAAAAGATAGACCGAACACCATCTTGCTACTGAATTGCAGCATCAAACAGTCATACATGCCCACCTGATATGATGGAAAGAGGGACAGTGGTGGAATGAAAGGGGAGGGGAGAAGGAGTACATGCAGTTTTTATGAAGCATTCATGTTGTTGATGTTTTTCTGCCTGTCTGCTTCTGACACTAAAATGTGAGGGAAGCTGGCTGGTGTAGATTTTAATGTTTGGCACCATGTTTCCTGCCGCCATAACGTCAACCTTTGGTTGTCAAAAAGTCACCAAGCTGAATCTTGCCACATTAGAACAAACACTCCAATACTGTGTATTAGGTAAAAGGTGATGTCCATTCCTATTTTACAAGCTTCCATCTCTCTCTCTACTGTTTTCTCTCCATTTGTTCCTAGGAGGGAGGTGCCATGGAAAAGCCATGGACAGAGAGAAGAGAGACGTGAGAAGAAAATAATTTGAGGCATTCCACGGCTTTGGCAACATCATCTTTTGTACCTCACTTATGCAAGACGCAACAACAGCTGCTGTGAAAAAAAGGCGTCTTGCAGAGGAGAAACCTGGAGAAAGAGACAGAGCAGCGGGAAGAAGGGGGACATTTGACAGATAAAAAGAGGGAGCTCTGCAGCAGGATCCCCACCGTGCTGAATACAGGACTGCGTGACTGGTCTGTGCAAGCAGAGGGAGGAGAGAGGAGAGAAGGGAAGAAGGTAGGAGAGAAAGAAGGGGGATGGGAGGCAATTCAGCGCAGTACAAGCAGACTGGATGAGTAGCAGCCGCGGCACAGGCAGCAGCATCAGCACCACTAGCTGTAGCATCTTTCTTTGTGGCTGCTGGAGCCTGTCTTGTGGCTGCTGTAGCATCAATATCATCCACATACGCGCAAATATCTGGACACAGATATTTGTCCCACTGCTTGCCTTATACACACACATGTCGTGGTGGCCACCAGAAAAGAGGTAGTAAGTGCCAGGGCTCGGGGGACAGAGGGACACAGGAAGAGGAAACAGGGACAACTGGTGGTAGCACAAACGAGAGGAGGGCTGGAGCAACGTTGACTGTAGGAGCAGCAGCAGCAGTAGCAGCGGCACCATGGCACAAGCCGCCAAGCAGCTCCGCAAGACCAAGGACCTTGCGGAGGCTGCCGCCCAAGAGCAGAGGGAGAAGGAGGAGGAAAAGATAAAAAAGAGGAATCGATCCAGGGACCGCAGGCGCAAGGTATGGCTTGCTGTCTCATGAGACAGGGGAGGTGACGGTGTTTCTTACATCCATCTTTCCCTCCTCTACCTGCCGTTCTCTCTCTCTCTCTCTCTAGCAGTCTCTCTTTCACTGCATGTATTGTGTAAGATTAGTGAGGATGCAATTACACACGTATAATTACACAGTTGGTCTTGCGGCCTCAGCTGGTGCTTGCGTGCGTGCATGCGTGCGTGTGTGCGTGTGCGTGTGTATCAACCTGTCACGCACATATGCTCTGGTACAGGTTGTCTTTGCTCGGTCAGATATTTATGGGTAAGAAAAAGGAGGCTGATGATGATTTTTATGCCTGTAGAGGTGTAACCAATCTAGGCTGTTGGTTGAATAACAGGCAGTGGCATTTGTTTCTTTCACATGAGAAGCTTTTTGTGGGATTTAAGTCTTACATGGGTGCAGCTCATTCATATTAATGCAGTGCAAGTTGAGTGTACTGCCCATACATATCTTATTATGCGTACAATCCCATCACCATTAACATGCTCTGCATGTTCTCTTCTTTCCCACGAAGCTGTGTTGTTCTTAGATTTGTGGTCTTCCCCCATATTACGTATGTTTTCCATTGGGGGAGATGTAAAATGGAGGGGGAAGATGGAGGTACACTCTAATAATAGATTTAATTTGAACCCATCTGAATATCTTTTTGGGGGCATGTTTGTGCTACATATTGGTCAATAGAGAAATCTATACCACTAATTATATATTAGATTATTTTCTGCTAGTAGTATGTGTAGGAAATTAATATGTAAATGTGTTGTCACTAACTAGGCCCACATGATATCAGCTTGTAGGCATGAGAGCTCTCACTCACCCTTCCATCACGCTTCTCCCCTGTACTCTCTCACTCTGGCTGTGCCTGTAGGTGCAGATTTTATTGGGGTTGTGCTGCCTTGCACTCACACTTGCCAGCCCTGAAATGATTTATGAAGATACATATTCTACTGTGAAATGTACTTGGATGGATTAACAAAACTTTTACAAATTTTATCCTTGAGTGTAATTTGTAGCATTATGCCCTGAACAGGGGGCTCAGTGTTCAACGCATTGGCAGCTCTCGGTTGTTTCTTTGTTCCTCCTGCAATATTTCTGTGTGCACACATTGATGTGGAGTTGGTGGCAACAAAGGATGGACAGGTCTTTTTATATTCACTCGGTGAGGGGTGTGTGTGTGTGTGTGTGTGTGTGTGAGAGAGAGAGAAACAAAATTAGGGTTTTTCAGAAATACAGAAACACAAAGGAAAATAGAATAGAATAAATGGAATCTGCAGAGTGAGCTGGGGTGCTCATGGAGTCCAACCTTTTCTTTCTTAGTTATTTAATATCTTAAAATATAAAACAGATTGTTTGTCGTGACCACAAAGCATTAGGGTTTGCGAAGGGTTGCCGAGGCCATATAGGTATAGCTTTAAGCAGTATGTTCAACTTGTTCAACTAATTTTTGTCTAAGGACCTGGAAAACCATAGTGCTGAAAATGTGCCGCTGTAGTGAGTTTTTTTTCCCCAAAGTAACATGGTACTGCTTGTGTTGGCTGTATATTTGTAGCCAAATAGGCCCCCTGTAATAACCTTGATGTACCGTCCTTAAATATTCTTGAATTTTTAATATTCTGGGTGAAATGATACGATTTAAGAGGGTCCAGTCAAGTAAATTACATGTGTCAATTTACTTTTAATGTACACATGTAATATGTTTTACACTTTCTGTGAAAATAATCCAATTAATCTTTTTTCCTTACATTACAGACACCTTATTTTAAAAACCTGACGTTGTCACATGTGTATCCTCCTTGCGCTAAATTCATGAAGTCCGATCCAATTTGATGTTGTATGTGGTTCTTGTATCACGTAACATGAAGACTTCACAGACTGTCTTCAGGTAGGTCTCCCACTGTAACACTTGTCTTTGTAAAGAGAGAAAATGACCTAACCTGCCTGTCAGCTCGCACTGGACTATTTCAGTGGCTTTACCCAAAGTCGTTATAGACAAGTCATGCCACTCAGCCGCCATCTTGGCAATGCCTCCAGGCAGCTGTTTCGGACTAACAAGACCAGGGTCCTATCTGAATGAATGGGGAGAGAGCCAGAACTGCACTTTCACTGGTCACGGGACATAAAAACTACATGACTAGAATCAGCAGTAAAATCAGATAAAAATCGCTGAAAAAGTTTGATGAATTTGCCCCAAAATAAGGTTTAAAAAACCTTTTTCCCGACCAGTTGTACTTCTACTAAGCATGCGTCACCTCTTCCGCGCATGCGCAGTAGAAGTAAAACAGACCCTTACGTCAGTGGAACCACACGATTGGCTGAAATATGATTCCCGCTTTGGCTGTTTTTTTGGCTCACGATTGGCTTTCTAGCGGGAGGGGTGGGATAACCACCATGTTTGCCGTTATGGGCTTTACCCATAGAGTTGTATTGAGGATGTGATGGAGTGGCATGTCTCCTCTAAAATGTCTCTGATTTACCATAATGGCTTGAATACGTGTGCATTCGAAATTTAGGTGCGGCTAGCTTAATCGCCTTCTCAGAAATGAGTGACACAAACACTCAAAGCGGGTCAGACCATTTGTTGCCTTTTCTAAGAAGTCAGCCACAGATTGAGTGGATGTGCTAGGAGACAATTCAGCAGAACAGTGTCTGCAAACGGCAATTTTTACGTCTTTCTCAGACACCTTAAAATGCTTCCACACTGGCAACATGTCAACGTAATTGTTCGGTAAAATTTGTTCAGTCTTTTGACGTATTAGGCCGAACACCGAAAGTGCTTTTTCTTTTGCTATTTTCGGCCGATTAATTTCGGTGACCGAACATTTGGTGTATCCCTATAACTAAGAGCTTGATGTTGGTAATTTAAAGGTTTGAGGCAGTAAAATCAACGTTGTTAAGGTTGTGGAAATTGTTACTACAGGTGTGGTGTGAACACTGAACACACTGAGGTGAGAACTGACAGATATAAAAAAAAGCAGAAATCAATACCTGTCTCAACCAAGACACTCAGGCATGGTGGTGGTGGGTCACACCAGGGTACCATAGTATTGCAATGTTTTGCATGACAATATTATATCAATACATGGACTATACGTATCAATCTCGTATCTTCTTCAAAACAATTAATAATATTGCAACCACAAAAATTTTGTTTTTGGTACTAAAATAAGAAAGTTATTGTACTTTGGGAACATGATTTATAGTTGTTAACAAGGTAATAAATCTCAAATATGTTATCACAATACTCAGCATATCGCATAATTTTTAAAATCGCAATAATATCATATTGTAACATGAGTATCATATTGTGAGGCCCATGGTGATTCCCACCCCTACAGGTAACCATACAAGATTGAAGTTAAGGCAGTTCAGAAAATCTCCACTCATACCTAATGATAACATAAATTACTTAGTTAACACTAAATTACACTAAAGTGAATATTGTGAACGTTGACATTACCTTATAACGAAGTATGGGCATAGTAAAGATTTACCATATAATTTTGAGATATGGTCTTCACAAATAACCAAACCCAATCTAATATGTAAATGATGGATTATAGCTATAGACATCTTCACATTAAACCCTTTGTAAATCTCTGTTTGGCAGGTTTGGATTCACAAGATTTTTGCAATAATGTTAGCCAAATATTAGACAGTATATAGTAGACAGAAACAGACACATTTGGTTATTTTGTCTATAACAGTTTCTCAGTTGACAACTTATATATGTTTATATTGCTATTGTTAGCTACACAAGTTAGTTATTTAGTTAAAGCCGAAGTAATCAAATATGAAAAGGGAGTACCTTTTACCTAGCTTGTCCAGAGTCCAGAGCCACCATCATAACAGGCACCTTCTGAACAACAGGTTATAAATGTTGTGTGTGTCTGTTTTCTTGTTTTTTTTTCTGAACAGGTATCAGCAGAAACATTTTTCTTTTATCAGGGAGCAGCATAATACACTAGCAAGTGTCCCTGTGGAGCAGGGGTTCTTAACCTTTCTGGCAGTCCAACCCCTTTTTGAAGTTGAAAATATTTCGCAAAAAAAAAAAATTCAATTCGTGTCCGATGTCATTCGTGTTATTTTCCCATTGTCCAATCTAATGAATGAAGAGACGAGCCCGCAGTTGTGCTGACGGAAGTTTACAGTTGCTTAGATTATCTGGAGACTGCAACAAACTGGCCCTGACTCATCCTAAAATACGCCTTAAACCATCATTAAGCAGGGATGTGATTTTTCCGGAATAATCTGGAATTCCAGATTTTCCGACCTGAAAATGAGATGCACATGAATCATGCAGATCTGTAATAAAAAAAAAAGAAGGTGGGGGGAGGTACAGGAACTGGCCTAGTGAAATGGAAAGGATCTAGGTTGACGTGTGTAAAGTTTTCTTCCTTTCTAAGTTCGTTAACGCTCAGCTGCCAATTCCACACCTGCGTGTGTACCACAGGCGCTCTCGCGCATCAGTGGTACGTAACGTGTTGGGCAGTAATAGGTCTACTGCAAAATTACTTTTCCCAGTAAAGAGTAATGTAACGGATTACCATTTCCAAAACAGTTGTATTATTACAGTTACTAATCCAAGTAAGGCTGCGCTGCTGAACGCACTATCCCGACGTGAATGCGCGACCGCGCTGCAGCTCAGCAGCCCCGGACCTTATGTTGTTAAAGTCAGCTGTTAGCCAAGAAGCTAAAGGACAACTGGAGAACAGGAAGAGAGGTATTTTCGACAGCTGTAAGTAACGTCATTGCCATTACTGTGTCACAGTCTAAGATGCAAAGAACATTGTCTTCCGTTGTAAACTTTGTGCGACCAGCAAAAAGTTTTCAACCGCGAACAGTTCTACAGTTCTACTTAGGCTAATTGAAGCATCAGCTAAAGCAACACAGCAACGTGAAACTCGTGAACTTGTGAAACTAATCACCCAGTAGTAGTGTAGCTAATATTACTTTTTTAAGGAGTAGGTCTA